GTGTTGGGCCTTTTCCCCTTCCCTGCCATTTTTAACAAAAAGCTACTGTTGCTAAATAGAACCACTCTAACTGGACAGGTTCATAGCAAATTAGAAAGGCCCCAAAGGAAAAGGGTGTTGTCACCAAGAGATATTCCCGAGAGGCTGTGCTGAGGGGTGCTTGGGGGAGGAGGCTGGGCTGGCCAAGATTCTGTGATTCCTCAAAGGTGGCTCCAAAATCAGTAGAGCAAAGGCAAACATCCCGTGACCAGCATAACATAAGCTGGAGGTGAGTTCACTGGCAGCCCTCACTTTCCATGCCGGACTGTCAAAGGGAAACATAACACCTTAGTGGAGTTTCCTGTATGGTCCATCCTGACCACAGGGCAAGTCCACTTCAGCGAATGCCAGAGAGACCCAGAGCTGGACGGAGGCCAAGAGCCCATGTGGCTCCCCCGCCTTCAGGAAGTGTCTTTCTCCTCATTGGCAGGAAGGGGAAGCACGGGCGGGCCTTCTGCCCCCTACCACCAAGCCCCAAGCCTAGCTGCCCCAGGCCAAGCAGCTCAGTTCAGTTGCGCTTCCCTTTTGCTTCTCGCACCCAACCCCGTCCCCGTCCTGAAACCAATTTTAGATTCCTTAAATCAGCCTTATAGCTGGGATGCCCGAGTGGAGGAAGTTCCTGTACTCCTCGGTCTCTCCGATAAAGCTGTGGGCTGCCAGGCGCAGACATTCTCCCCTTAACGTGCAGAACAACTGAAAGAGGCGAGAAGCCAGATCACAGTACCTCCTCTAGGGTCCAAGTGCGAGGCTGATGGCCGAGAGAAGGAAGGAAGCAGACAGTCATTCCCCGGAGTCAGGCGGGGCGCGTCCCGCGCTCTCCAGGCTGCTTTTGCGACCTCTAAGCGCTTTCCTTTCAGGAGCCGGAGCCAGCCAGCCTCCCCCCGGGCACGGTGTAGCAGGCAGGGGTGCAGACTCCCTGCGCCGCCGTCCGCCTGGGGTGAGTTGGGAGCCTGCCCGCACGGGGCGGGGGTTCTTAGGCGCTCAGCGGAGCGGGCCGAGGGCTCCCGCTGGAGCAAGTTTGCTCCCTGCCGCACCCAGACGGCGTCCTCCGACCCACCCGGGAACGCTGGGCCGCGAGCGCACTTGTTTTCCAGGATACTCCGGGAACTGGACTCAGACCAGGACAACTGGTCCCGGGAAGCAGGGCTCCCTAGGGGCGGGGTCCGGGGACAGCAGTTGTGGGGTACCCAGCGGTGGGTCAGAGAAGGGCAGCAACAGCTGGGGTGCAGGGGGTGCCCGTGGCCTAACCTGTCCCGGCCACAGCTCCTCCGGCTGGAGTACTCACCGCTTTGCAGGCGACCCTCCGCGTCGCGAAGCCCCGCCAGCAGCACCGCCAGCAGCACGGGCCGCAGCGCCGTCCCCGGACGCATGACCCGAGCCCGCTGCGCCCTCGGGCACCCGGGCGCGCCGGCAGTGGAGCGGGCAGAGTGGCGGCGGCGTGCGGGACAACTGCGAGCGCAGCGTCCGCATCTCCCGAGGACGGTCGGACCCGGCTCCGGGAGCGGGCGGGGAAGGCGCAGTCAGCGTGCAGCCCCTCCGCCCCTCGGGACGTCACTGCGGAGAGGGCAGCGCCGCGCCGGGCCCGCCCCACGGTCTCCTCCCGCGCCACACTTCGCGGTCGGGGAGTCCCGCTCCTCCGAGCTTCCCCGGGAGATCCCGAGTTTGCCTCCTGCACAAGGTGGGGGCAAGTCCCAGGATGGTTTCTCTGAGACAGCAAGAAGAACTCAGTGTGGCGAAAACCAGCGCCTCGCCTGGGTTCTCCAGGGTCTGAGAGTGTGGGGAAGTCATATAGCTACCCAGAGTTCAGTAGGCTGCAGTCCCAGCCTCGGGGCCACCGTGGAGAAGCAAGTGTCTGCGTGGAGAACAAGAGCTCATGCGGGCGGGGTGTCTCTCGGCCATGAGAGGTGAGGGCATGGCATGGATTAATGACCATGAACTGGAGTTGCGGGTGAAGAGAGTGACATCTAATGATAGACCCCGGATTTCAGCAAGAAGGGCACATGATGGGAAGTGAGGGTGAAGGCTCTGGAATTCAGTTTTGGACTGGTGACCGAGGAAGAAGACCCCTCTAGGAGAGAAGGATTGAACTCCCTCCAGAAAATCTGTTTTTAACCAACCTAGCCCACAATGTGTGCTCCCTCTCTTAATCCCCCACAGCGGGTTCTTATAATAAACAAAATATCTTCAAATACATTCAAATAACAAAGCAGGCCTGTTGTTCAAAGCCTAAGGCCCTAAGCAGCAGAAGGTTCCTTACCTTTCCACACCGTGCTGTGGTGAAGCATAGTAGAAGCCTTATTATCTGGGCCAAGAACTTCTCGATTTTGATCTTTTGCTTACCTACTCATCCTGCTTTTCCTAAGAAGAGTCAAGACAGCTCCTAAGACTTTGAGCCACTGATGTTCAAGGCCCTGCAGGCAGGCCGGACTCAAAGCTGGGAGGGGAGGAATTGACAGCTCTTCTCTGTATGGTGAGAGACTGTCTCACAGCCAACACACACACTCTCTAGAAAGTCTTAGTTATGGAAACAAGCAGAGAGAGAACAGATAGGCTAGAAAGAAGCACTGAAGTGGCATCTGATGTTCTGTTTCAAATTCTGCTTTTCTTCATTTATTATCTGTGTGGTCACTGGCAAGTTTTTGCCACTAAGTCTCATTTGATTCGTAATAATATTGTTTTCTTAGGAGTTTTGCAAGGGTTGGGCAAGGCAAATATGTCTATGGATATGCAGGTAATTGGGTATCTAACATTAAAAGGATTAAGGATGTTAATGTTAAAAGGATTAATTTCCAGTATTACAACATGTAGTGCAATTTGAGTCATTGCTTTGTCCAAATAATTAAGTAGACTTTAAATTGATACCCTGACTTTAATCCATATTGACTTTTTATTTTGGTACCAGGAATCGAACTCAGGACCTCACACTTGCTAGGCAGTCACTTGTGCCACTGAAGGCTAAATCCTTAGCCCTCAGATTGACTTTTTTAGGTATGAAATCAAACACTTTTGGTAGGCTTCATAATGATCCAAATTCTTCACACCTTCCTGTACACAGTCTTTACTTGCAGTTCTAGTTACTGAAGAGGTACAGTGTATTTTCCTATCCTTTTGTGTTTAACCATATGCTTGACTTGTTTGGTCAACAAAATGAGCCAGAGAGTATTTTTGTTTATTCCCTTATTTACCTTCAGTCTCTCAAAGAAGCACACCTCAGCTATTTCACTAGTGTGTGAATATTCCTGTGAGGTTGGAACAGAGCTACCCCAATTGACAGATTTGTACTATAACAGAGCTGCACTGGGTATTGTAGCCTGAAGCAGAACCCACCTGATATACACATGTAACAGCATAGTAAGTGATGTTTTAGGCCTGTTTGTTACACAGTATGGTTGCAACAGCAAATGATCACACCTGGAAATGTATGGAGGTGTCACTAGGGGAGGGTTTGTTGCCAAGAAAGCTTGTGAAGAGGAATTTTTTGAGGGTGGGTGTAAAAATTACCTTGGACCAGGATCCAATCCTTAGTTTGACAAGCTCAACCTTAATTAACAGGTGATATGTTGGGTGTCCCTTATCAAAAACACTTGGGACCAGAAACATTTTGGATTTTGGAATACTTGCATATACCTAAAGAAATATGTTAGGGATAGGACTCAAGTCTAAACACACAATTTATGTTTCATATATACTTTATACACAGAGCCTGAAGGTAATTGTATACAATATATAATATTTGACTGCATTCCTCAAGAGGTCAGGTGTAAAAATTTCTACTTGTGATCGTGATGTTTGTGTTCAAAAGGTTTTTGGATTTTAGAATTTTTTTGATTTTATGTTATTGGATTAGGTATGCTCAATATGTTATGTTTATACACACTGAGAAATATAATCACCAGATAAACTGATATTTGTGTTGGCCTGTTGGACTCACACTCTTGTTTGGACAAGAAAAAATTTCTCAGCAAGCATGGAATCAGAAGAAAAGGAATTGTTTATGAGGAATTAGAGAAAGTTTAGGCTTTGCTAACTTGTTATGTTCATCTTTATGGTGAAGATCTGTCTGACAAATATATCAACTTCACAGGATGCCTTTTATTCCTGATAGTATTAGGATTTATAACTTTTATAACTTTCAAAATTTACTTTGCTAGGTCTGATTGTCTTTTTGCAAATAATATTGTGCCAGAATCCTATGGTTAACCGCTAATACCCCTCTCTATTTCTTTTGGTGATAAGAGTTCTTACATTATGACTAGGCAGATCCATGTTCACCCCCATCTAGAAATTCTTTCCAGCTTCCTTTGCAGGTGGCATGGCCCTGTGATCTGACCACAAAGCACACTGGTGACCACTCCTCTGTTGGCAGTGTGGGTGGCAGCTGTATCTTATGGAGGTTATGCCTGGGAGTCTCAGTGAAGGCCAACAGCAAAGTGAATAGAAGTTCCCAAGCAGAGCTTCAAACACTGTTTGTGGGTGTATCACTGGGCAAGGCAGAAGGCACAATACTTAACTTCCTTTTTTCCAATATATAACAAAGGGCATAAACACTGCAAATGAGGTAGTTTGGCAATGGGATTATGTACCTGTTTGTAAAATGTAGGTATAGGAAGCTATTCATTTCTGTTTGTAGACATATTCTAGAAATGAGATAAACCAAATTTTGGGAAAAGATTTTTATTTAGGAAGACTATGTTTTTAAGACTTCTCTTTCATCCTTATTTTCTTATTATTTTTACTGACAGTGTACAAGTTGGGAACACATAAAACCTCTGATTCTGCTTATGTGATATTCATAATACAAGTAAAATATAAAAATTCTGGAAATATCCTTCAGATAAAATGATGGAACTTTGAGAATGTGAAAGTTGAGGGGGATGACTGTAGTGTGATGCCAGACACAGCAGTGGTGAACAGTAAATAAAACGGAGACACACTCAGGAATTGATTCAACCATAAACATCTGCATATTTAACTTTTATTTCTTAATCTATTTTAAAACGTGTTCAAAAGCTGGTAAAATTCCTAGAGACCTCAAATCTTTAATTTCTTTGTTTTAGCTTTGATCCTGATGTAAGCCATCTTCCACTATGAGTCAGTTAAATCAGTTCAAGGCTTTGACTTCTTCTTGGTCTTTTTTATCTGACTCCGATAACACTGGCCTGTTGATAGTAATATGAATCAGTACCAAATGTGTAATTGTGAACACAATGCAGTATTTAAAAAAATAAAAAAACCTCTCACAGCAAAAATTCACTATTTTGGAAATGCATTAGGTTTTGTAGCCAAGTATAAAATTGCACATGAGAGAAATGGTTATTATGCTGCAAAATGTGATTTTAAGAGCATGGGAGAACATCTCCTACCCTGAACACTTTGCTTGGCCAAGAGTCAAACTTTGAGGATTTACTTCATCATTGGTAATTGATTCTTTGGATCATTATTGTTCTTTCTACCCTGCCTTCTTAAAATGCAAAACTTTATTGATAGATAATAAATATGTTGCTATTCAAATGTAACACAGTGCGCTTTCCAGTTCTTTACGCTAGAAGGAGAAGCAGCTAAGCCTAAGAAGGTCCACTGAAGCAGGGGAATGTGCAGCTGCCTCTGTGCGGTGGGAGTGTGCGAGGGAAAGATGGAGGAGGAAGAGGCAAAGCTGAAGTAGTTTACAACTGTGTCTGAAGTATTGACAAATGTAAAGTGTTTATAAGTCAATGTATAATATAGAACATCAGTTTCTAAATTACCTAATGTGGAATTACATGATACTTTTGAACTAAAAATTTTTAAGCAAATATTTTCTGAATTCCAGTATGTAGACAGTGTGCCAGACACTTTGGGTGACTCAACTTCCCATTGGGTATGGGAGGTTACATTGTAGTTATAGACAAGACAGAAATATGTGAAATATCAAATAATATGAAATAATTAAACAACGGTAAAACATTATGATTAGGTGTAAAACATGATTAACTACCAAAAGTATGGTACATAAGTTAGCTGTAGGCAGTTCCGAGGCAAAACATGTTACTGTGAAATGGAATGAAATCCAGCAGATGGAGTAGAGGAAAGAATGAATATATTATAAAATATATTAAATAACTAAATATTTAAACTGAGAGAGCTATCTTCTTAAATCATAAAACAATGTTTTACTCTTAGGTGGACCAACATGAGTGGAAGCAGGAATATTTTGTAAAAACACATACAGAAATCTAAGACACTCAAACACATCTGTCTGGAACTATTCAAGCAGCAGTCTTCATTCTTTGGGTCAGGTAAATAAATCTTTTGATTGGGCTAGTTCTGTTCCACCCTTAGAAGCCAGCTAGCTAAAATACAGATTGCTTAACAGCACGTGGAGAAAATAGCTAGGTGATGAAGTGATTTTTTTTCTGGTACCAGGGATCGCACTCAGGACCCTGCTCTTGCCAGGCAGGTGCTGCTTACACCACTGAGCTGTATCCATGGCCCCTCTGTTCATATTTAAGTTTTAAAAATCAGCAAAGGCATATTTATTCTTCTTTAAGGTGATTACTTTGATAACAGTAAAGGGAGCCAGCTTCATTATCAGTGAAATCAGAATCAAAATTCTACTACTTATTCTAACTGTATTTCCCTGAACATAGTGTGAAAATAAATGTCAAATTAATGTTGAAGCTGAGGATTTAGCTCAGCGGCATAAGCACCTGACTGGCAAGTGCAAGGTCATGAGTTCGATCCCTGCTATCACTCCCACTCCCAAATTAATGTAGAGTTAGCCATGTTGGTTTTTAAGCATAATACAAAAATGGGGAGCTTTGTAAAAATTAAATGTGTTTTACTAATAATTAAGTGGTGATAGCTGATTTCTTTTAAACTCTTCCAGACTAGGTTTCAGGCCCTGTATTAACATTCCAGGGCAAGGCTATTAATTCATCACTCAGAGATAGACCTTTTGCTACATGAACTGAGTGATACATGCTGGTAGGGTCAGAGCTGTCATCTGTAAAGACCTGTTGGCATGCTAACTAAGGGTGGTGGGGCCACAGTGGGCAGGGAGGATGGAGCTCTGAGGCTTAGGGCAAGTGAGCACAAAGCCTGGATGACACAGGAGGGCAGAGAATGTGCGTCGTGTCTCCAGTTCGCACCGACTTTTGCTTGCATGTCTCACAGCTACACAAGTGGGTACACAGGCTTTCACATGCATGACAAGGGAGTTCCGTCAGAGCAAACAAGCTGCCAGAAAACCTAGTATGCTGGAATGAGGTTTTAGATCTGACAGTAGAAGACCAAAAAAAAAAAGTAGTGCTTTGCTTTTTTAGACCACAAACAAAACACAAAAACCAAAAAACCAGAATATCAGAACTAAACTTACTTTTTGTCCTGTACTTTTTCTTTAAGTTTATAAGGACGGGAAATCAATTCTTTCTAGAAAATCAGAAAGGAAAACTTACTTCTTGTGATCAAAATTTATTTGTTTGAAAAAAATTTAAGGTAAAATCATCACAAAGTTTGTAAAGATTAAATTGTCAAATATAGAAACATTGGATCAGAAATGTCTCAGATTAATGAATTTGAGTTGCATTCATGAGTGTGTGTATCCATATGTTTATACTGTGCTATTATTATTTTTATATGATTTGTCTGTCATCATTTAGCTTTTATTTTTGTATGATCTGGGAAAAGATTAATCATTGTAAAGCAAATACCGACACCGAAGTAGCCCTTATTACAGCATTACAATATGTAAACAAAAAACTGTACTGATAACAGCATCCCATGAAATTCCAGGAGAGCTGCAAACTGAGGAGATATTCTGGTTTCTCAAGGATTGACCTCCCCACCTTCTCCAGTATACAGGAGATTCCAGGGTAGGCTCTGAGGAGCTGCATTTAAGGGGTCTATCTGTGAGACCTCAGAAAACTTGCCAGATTCTCCTTTCAGATAGGTATATCCAGATGCCTCAGTTAGTCTTACCGAGATCCTTTCTTCTCTTTGTTTTCTTAAGAGTTGGAGAATCTCATCTCTCTTTTTAGCCTGTTTAAAGGGAAAAAATGTGAGTGAATGTTGATGCAATACTAATGTTATACCTCTGGAAAGTAGAATTCTTCCCTTTTCTTCTGGTACTGGCAGAACTCTCAAATATTTTTTACACAGTAGATTTATGCATTGTCATTTGCAGCACAATCTTCTTTTTATTACAGAGGAAGCAACTTTAAAACATAATTTGATTATGATAATGGGGAGCATTTTCTCCTCCATAATAACTTTCATTAAGACCTTTTGTTAACAACTTAGAAGTCTGACACCACTATGATTTCATTTTATCATCATGCTAAATTACTACTAGATGTAGGGTCAGCAGGCTCAGCTAGCACACCGCTATCTAAATCATAGTACCCAGGGCTGGCTGCACTTGCTTGCATATGAGAACAGAGCCTCTCATTTATCTACCAAGACATCCACATCCTCAGGAAAGTTTCTGAAGTGTAAACACTCTCTGTTCTCAGAGAAAATCTTATATTCTAATAGAAAATGTGTGCTATAGGGCTAGTCAGCAGGGGGAGTTAATTCAGACAGGGGTAATTTTGACTATCAAAATTAACTTATTTGATGATATCACACTGCACTGCAAAAAATGGTTAAGCGGTAAATAATAGTTATGCTATAGTGGTACTTATAAACTGAGATACTAAGATCGTTAATGTGAACTAAAATTTTTGGTTATCAATTAATTGTAAAATAGGCATTACATTCCAAATTTAAGCAGAACCAAGGTTCTGTAGCTTAACAGAGCTTGAGGATATTACGTTTTTCATTTTTTTGACGTTTCAGAATTTATTTTAAATTCTATGTTCATCATTAGGAGTGAGTTTCCTTATAGGGCCAACAGACAATTTTGGTTCTTATTTTAGATAGAATCTTAATGCTCAAAAGGTTTCAGTTCACTTGTATGTTATAAATTCAGTCTCTAGAAGGTAGAGAAGTATGACTGGGTGAAGGTAAAACTATCAGGAAAGAGTATTATATTTGAACTTGATTTCAAAAGCAGTATGCACTTCCTATCTTACTGACTTTGATAACGAAAATGCTTCAACTCTGAGTTTTATTCCAAAAATGACTGTTTTCTGTGTCTACTAACTAAAACTTGGTCTGTAGATTTCATGACTGCCTTTTGGTAAATTTATATCTACGATAGTAATAAGAAACAGAACATTTGGACTTCAAAAAATCTATACACTTTAAAAGGCAGACTGAATAATCAGTGAAAAGGCTTTCTCTAGTACTAATCTGACTAGTGCAGACCTAATTGCACTAGTCTATAGAATGCAAGCTGATATAGGATTATTTATATGAGGGAGTAAGAATGCTGACTTGCAGAAAAAGATGCTGATCTAAGCACTTTCCCATACTTCTTGGAAACTACTGGACCCTGGCTCAGTTCCCAGATCTGACATATATAATTTTCATCAAAAAGTTAGTTTATTAAATGAAAAAATATTAGTTATTATATAGCTGAGAGTCAGGATCATTTTTCTTAAATGTAGTTTTCAATAAAGTACAAATTTACATGTCATAAGGAAAATTGTGTTTTAGGGGGTTCTATTACAGATATTTTCTTTTTATGTTACATAATTTTAATAGAAAAATCAATAATAACTGTCCAAAGTACACAGCTCTGTTTTTGAAACATTTATACACATACACACTCACACAAATGCACGCAAGGCAAATATAGAAGTGATTTTTTCAGTCCTGGGGATTGAACCTCAGGCTTGCTCATTCCAGGCAAGTGACCCACTGTTGCGCTACATCCCTAGGCCTGTACAAGTGATTAAAAACCCTGTTTAACATTGCTTGAAAGGGTACTTAAAAAAAGACCAATGAGTGAGATTTGAATTTTAATGTTTAGAAAAATATGAGCATAAAATGAAGATTATGTTTTTAAGTTTGATAAAGCACACATACATTAGGGATACTTCTCTATCCCTATGATTAAATTATATGCTATGGACAATTCAGTCTTCAATGAAAACCAAAGGTTGTCCTTAGCAAACAAAAGACTATGATGAGTGGCTGAGTGAGACTGACTGATCTCTCAGCCTTCAGACATGTCTCTCCTCTCCTCCTCCTAAGGCTTAAACAGGAGGAGCTAGGGAGTTCCCCACAGAGGTGACTGTCAGATTTCCTCCTCTCTAGCCCAGAAAGTCACAGGCCTATTTGATAACTTCACTTACTTTTCTCAGCGGTGCCTCAAACTTGGTTAAGTCTCAATTGAATTTTTAGTTCCTCTTCCCAAAAAACTCAACACTTGACCTTCTTCTCATCGTATTCCTTATGTAAGAGAACGGCCCCATGTAGCCTGTTATACAAGCCAAAGTAGCTATGAGTTATCTTTGATTCCTTGTGTGCCTCACCTTCCATTTCCAATACATAATCTGCACCCTAGCTATTCACTTCCTAAATATCTCTCAAATTTATCTACCTCTTCGTATCCTACTGTCACCATCCGAATCTAAGCTACCATCACTCTCTCCTGGATGGCTGCAATGGTCTCTCCAGTCTGGTTTCCCTACTTCTGACACTTTCAGTCTGTTTTCCGTTTGAAGGTTCCTGATCTCTTTCGAGCAAATCTGATATTATTATCCCCCAACATAAAAACATTCTAGTGGCATTTTAATGTGCATATAATGACCTGACTTTCTTGTTGAATTTCCATATTGGCCATTTAGCGTCTGAGATGCACCATGCCTTTTCTAGCACAGGAATTTTGCACATTCTATTTTTACTGGCTGAAATACCCTCTTAATGTTCCCTCTAACTCCTTCTAGCCTAGTTAATGCCTCCCCTTCCTTCAAACCCTCAGAAAAATCCTCTGATTCCCTTGATTGAATCAATACTACCTGATTAAGTATTATCCTAACACCATGTAATATTTTTCATAAATATTTCTCTTCTGGTTACACAGCAAGTTTTATATAAGAGCAAAATTTGTACCTTTAAAATGCATTTTTTATTGTTCATCATTGTGCTTCAGTGCCTAGCATAATGTCTAGCACAGTGCACAAAGAAGTACTATAGAAATATCTGAATGAATTTTGCACAATTATTCTAAACCAGATTGTTTAGACATATTACCTCTGTAATGGTAATTCAGCAATTAGTCTTAACTTTCGATTCCATGATTCATCTTATTATTTGTGAGTCTTTTTGGCACTTATTGTTGAGTTTGACATTGCATTTTTTGGCTTTATCTCTATGCTACATACCTTGTTAAGCCTATGGAGAGTTTTCAGTTGCTTCTGGACAACATCCTATAAAGTACAGCTTAACCCCACAATCCAGTATTTCCATGGAAAGTTCCTGTATTTCTACAGTGAAATCTAGACAATGTCCAATTCAGCACATACATACTAATGTCTCAACTCACACCAACATCTATTTTATCTACTAGGAATATTTATGATAACAACCCAGAGATGCTAAGACACTATGCAAAAGATGAAACTACAGTAAATAACTTTTTTCCTTGGTGATTTTATTTTGTGCTATACAAATTTATCCTTCATAAGAAAAATTTCAAGTTTAGAGTAAATAATATCTGCATTTTTTTCTAATTGCTGAATTACCATTACAGAGGTAATATGTCCTTTCCCATAAGTTATTAAATAGAGTTTAGGTCAACAATAGGATCAATTGTAAATTGGTTTTTAAAAAGAAAATAAAAAAATAAAAATGATACAGAATTTCAAAACAAAATGATAGAAAATTAACAATGGTTATTATTTTTTGAAGATGGCATATTGCCATCTTCAAAACAGTTGCTTGGGTTACCAGATATAGGCATACAAAACTGATCAAGCAATATAAACACAACTGTTTCTTCCAGTGAACTGATAGAATAATACAATTATCATATATATATATATATATATATATATATATATATATTATGGATTAAAAACTGATGGTCAACTGACTTAATGCCAGCTGACTTAAATCATCATGGTGCCTAGCATAGATGTTCAACCTGAGGAAAGTTGTCAGCATAAATAGAGACATGGAGAAGGAGAAGGTAGGCATTGAGGCATTGAGGCATTGTGGGTTTTCCTACGTGTTGCTGTTTGAGCTGCTGGTTCTCCTGGAGAAACTCTGGTTCTTACATGGAGCATCGCTTCCTGGCTCCGGAGGGGAAGACGTGTGCTGCTTGGTCTCCAGGATGAACTCGTCACACTGGCTTCCTGGCATGTACTCGACTGTGCTTTTGTCGGAGAAGCTTGGGGCCGCTGTGTCCCTGGGGATGGCTGTGGTGCTTTTCAGGACAGTCCTGGTCTTTGCTTTGAATGTGACCTCTCGGCTCCAGCGTAGAACCCTCAACCTACCAGCACAGCTCCTTAACCCTGCTGGTGTAGACTTTCTAGCTTCCACCGCTGACGTTTGGGCCTTCCCAGCTCCGATCCATAAGAGATACTGGTGTGAGTCCTTCTTGTGGGTTCTGGATCTCCAGTTGGACTTGGGGGAGGCATTGTCCTGAGCTCTGGGTCTTCAGCTGGACTCATGCAGGACATTGCTGTGGGGTTCAGGCCCTTGGTTGAATATTCTATGTCTTTGGTGTTGTGGATAGATTTCCTGCAGTCCCTTGTGTTAACTCTGGGTGACCATCATAAAATAGTATAAATTCTATGTCCTGATTCTAATTGTTCTCTGTACAACCCTTGAATACAACTATATATATATATTTTTTTTTTCCTCCTCTCCTTTCTGCTTTCCCCCATCCCAGCTGTTCTTTCCTTTGAGCAGTTTTTTTTTTTTTTCCTTTCACAATATCTATTGTACCTTTTGGATCTTATTAACTATTTCATTTTCTTACATTAGGGAGACAATATGACGTTTATATATGCAAATCTGATTTATTTCACTTATGGGTATGCTCTCTAGTTGCATCTATTTACCTATAAAAGTCTCGAGTTTATCTTCCTTTGTAGCTGAGTAGTACTCCATTGTATAAGTATACCACATCTTTTTGTGCATTTCTC